AGGTACTACGATTAAACCTTTTATTCAATTTTTCTTGTGTTCGAACAAGTGTTTTCTTTTGAACACAGAGGCGTGACGTTAGAAAGCTGTCCAAATGTTCTATCCACACACCAATTTATACACCTTCAAATGCACCCGAAAATGTGTCCAAAAAAATGACAAGAATGAAAACAATTGTTCGGACACAAGAAAAAAATTAAATAAAATGCGTAATCGTAGTAAAACTTTGTCTGTCGTTTTATTTGTTGCTATTTGTTGGTGTTTTTGAATGGTTTATTGAAACATGCATAAATGAAGGATTGCTGCATAAATACCCAATATATATATATATATATATATATATATATATATATATATATATATATATATATATATATATCATGCTAGTTGACTTTATATGTCAGCATTTTTTAACAGGATTAAAAATACATCCTCTTGACTTTTCGGAAGCTTCTGATATAAGTGTCTCTGGATTGAATCAGAAATTCGTATTTTTTGACTTCTCTATTAATTCAGTTACTTTTATAATTTATTCTTAGTCATAGCGTATTTTCTATTAATTTCTTTGAAATTAAAATTTATATTTGGTGTTCAAATGCTTTTGTTTGTAATGAAAGCGATTATGTGTAAGAAAAAGAGGAAATCATATCCTTTGTATGTATAACATTAATACGTGTATTGGGATTTCTTTTCACATAAGATTCGCGATGGGTGTTTATATAGTGACAACACGAACATAAAATCTGTTAACTCGTATATTATTTATTATTCAACAGAAAGTTAAATTTCGCTCCCGTTTGATTTGTACAAGTGATCGCTATCTTGTTAACTGTTTATATTTCTGATTACTTATCGAAAGAAACGTCGCTCGGACGTCATAGAAAATCATCACATGACCGAATTGAAATATTTATTAACCAATCAAATTTACTTAAATTTCAAGTCATTTCGGAGCCTCTAAGCTGACATAAAAGAGACTAATAGAAAAAAAAAAAAGCCTTTCAAGTCAGTAGCAGATCAAATACTGAATATTTGTTAAAATAGGACCTTTTTGCAGCCAGGCAGTCTCCAGTTACTCCTCTCAACTTTCCCTTACCACTTTTCCTCAATTTAATTCTTATATATAAAATGGACATTTTCCAACAAATTACATACACATCGATGAATATTCGTCTTTTTCTTTGCTGAAAATGTAACTTTTATTTTAAACCCTATTCGCACGTTTAAAATTGATTGATGAATTTGTTTTACGATTTTACGTGGGGTATTTCAAGTCGAGGCATGTTTCTGAATTGTATAAGAATAATTCTTTTCCGAATGAATATTGTATTAACGATTTCAAAATAACTATAAATTATGTTACACTGATTTTCAAAATACAATACATAAAGAAGAGATGTAATAAACTTTTTCTTTAAAAATAGATTGTAGGTCTTTTTTTAGAAATAGATCGTAAATTTCTATTCTATTATCTATTCAATCTCCTTTACAAACTGAAAAATTTCATTTAGTTCGGTATTTTCGAAAAGTTCCTGTGGGTTATCTGCTCTGCTGTACTTGACTCATGTATATGGTTCCTGACATCTCTTTGTAACCCAGGTGATATTCCCGATGGACTCACTTGATGTCGTGCAATTCGTTGTCCTGATTCCAAAACTGTCTTTCGTTCATAAACTTCTGATGGTTGAACGCAAGTTAGTCGATAGAATTTCTATATCAAACATTTAGGAAAATTAATAACAGTTCAAAATCCTTTTTCACTTTGTCAATAATGGTTAAGACTTTAACTTGACTCTACATGTTTTAATTCGATGGGCAGTAATATTTATATTTAGGGTGGATATAAATATTTACTAAACCTAGTATAATTTGAAACAAGTCCAAATATGGAGAATTGCATGTTGAGGGATTGTATTGCGACAATTTTCTAAGTGCTTGTTGTGAAAATCAGTATTTGCAATTCTGTTTGTATTTTTTTTTTATCTTGGTTCGAAAAGTTTCCCCAAGACACAACTATCTCATCTACTGAGAAGGACCTTATAGAGTGGGCCTATAACCTTATAGAGTGAGCCTATAACCTTATAGAGTGAGCCTATAACCTTATAGAGTGGGCCTATAACAGTAAGAATTAAGTCGAATGTTTATTATGAGTTAACGGATGAAAATGATTCGATATTTTGTCTCGAAATTCAATGCTTTTATTTTTGTTTTTCTCCAGACGCTCTGTCAATATATTGAATAAATTCAATCTCAATTATCAAAGTTTATGGCCCAAAGCTATGTTTTGTTCTTTTGGAAAGAATCAGGGAAAGGCATGGTCTTCTATTTCCCTACATTATTCCATTTTCACAATAGAATTGTGTTAACTCTGAAATTGTTATCACTGAAAGACAAAAAAAGTTTATGAAAGAAATGAAGAAGTAATATAAGGCATGAACATGATTCTGATTTTCACTCCAAATAATTCGTGATAATAGTACGTGTGCTAATTAGTGTAATCAAAACTGTCTAAATAAACAAGAGTGTTCAAATGCTTAATAATGATGAAAAGACATCTTGTTTGATGTGTGTCCCGTAGCTACGAAACAGGCAGATGGAAATATTTCCCTTTTGTCTCTAATACACTTGACCACTTGTTACTAACGCAATCAAATTCAGCTCCTAATGTATATGGGGAAATAATTTATTGAGGGAATTATGAAAAGTTAATAATGAGTAGCTACGAATGAAAAACTCAACATTTGACAAGATAATTGAAGAGGAAATGTACGAGTTATTTTCCGAAATAATATCAGCTTTAAGAAACATTCACGTTAATAACAACCAAAATTAGTGGCCTTGTCTAAATGTGAAGGCCTTTATTCGGTGCATTTTTTTTTTTTTAATGCCATTTCCTTTCAAGACGTAGGCGCCCATGGCTTTCCACGGATTCAGTTTCTTTATTATTTGAGAGTTACCATACATTCTTGGGAAAGATAGTGGAGTAGTTTCCAGTGCCGTCTTCATGTTTTCAGAGTTTTCCTTCCCTTAGACTAGCTACCAGCCAAGGCTACAGACACAAATATATCCATATCTGGCGAGGTAAGAATGTTATTCATGCATTTCTTGAGGGTAGTAGTGCGAAAGTGAATGCAACAAGCTGGGTCCGATGTTGAACGCCTCGTCGATTCCGTTTTCTGCGTTGATAAACACATTGAAAATAAAAGTAGAATTAAAAATGAAAAATTAATCTGTCTTATATCTCCCCTACAACATTGTCTTTATAAAGTGAATTTAAAAGAAAAGTTAATTTTAAAGGAGAGTTTTGATTTTTTGAATAGTTTGGTCTGGTTGGTTTTGTTTAGCGGCTTATCAGCCCATGAGGCTTCCCCTACAGAAGGTAGCGACGGAGAGTAAGAAGAAAGGACTAAGCATAAACTACAAGAAGACAGAATTCCTAAGAGGAGGAGCCTGAAATGCGATTTGCTGGTCGAGAACACTAGAATCAAGCAGACGCAGAAGTTTAAATATCTGGGAAGCGTCTTGACAGAGGACGGTAAGTGCGACACTGAGATCCGTAGATGTATTGGGATGGCCAAGGACACATTCCAAAAGTTGAGCAGAATATTACGAAACAGGGGGATTTCTTTGGTAACAAAGAAAAGAATACTGAGCTGTTACGTGACATCTGTCCTTCTTTACGGCAGCGAATGTTGGACGATTTCCTCAAAGATGAAGAAGAGACTCGAGGCGACGGAGATGTGGAAAGATACTAAGGATATCATGGACCGAGCGTGTGAGTAACGATGAGGTCATAGGGATGTTGCAAACAAGGAGAAGGTTTATGCTTAACATCAAGAAGAGGCAGATGAAGTTTCTGGGACACATAATGAGGAAGGAGGGCCTGGAGAATCTAATACTCACGGGTCGAATAGAGGGAAAGAGAGACAAGGGAAAACAACGCGTGAAATACCTGGCGGAGTTGGGCAGGTGGATGACAGAACGTGGTCTGGGGGAGGAAACAGTGGGAATTAACTTGTTGAGAGCTGCAAGGGATAGAGGGAGGTGGAGAGCCATGAACGCCTACGTCCTGAAAGGACATGGCACATAAAAAGAAAAAGAAAGAAGGCTTATTTAATGCCGAAAATTTAAATATGAAAATTCCAACTTTATAATTCATTCAAGAAAATTACATTATTTCATAATTAAATTATAATTACTTATCTGTTAATCTTAAAAAATCAAACATGGAGTGGAAACTTGTTTCTTCTTATAAGAAATAAGATTAATCATAGCAAATTGTTTTTTCATTTATTATTTTTTTTTGACAATGCATGCCATGTTTTCAATTTTACTATAAAATGTATTGCTGATACTTTTGCTATAAAATTCGTAGTTCTAGGTGTTGTTGTCAATTTTTTTTAATAAAAATTATTGCTGGTAATTTTACTACAAGAATATATTGTTGATAATATTTTTATAAAAATTTATTGCCGGTATTTTTACTATAAAAATCTATTTTTATACTTTTCTAGTGTTTTGATTTTTGTTTGGGGTTCATTATTTGCTCAAAGCTGGGACCCTAACAAGTGCTACCATCTCGGGTCTGGGTGGGCTTGGGATTAACGGCAATTAAGAGTTAATTCCAAGATCCTCAAAAGTCCCTAATCTCCCGATTGCTGCCGGATGTAGTTTATCGTCATATCCAGGACTAGATTTCCTGAATGAGAAGCCCTTCAAAAGATGTCTGTTGGTTAGTTAGATTTTGAGAAGTTGGTCAGGATGAGAAATTTTCAACAGCACCTCGTAGTAGAAAAGCCTCACCAATTGTTCACATTTTGATTCATTTATCCACCATTTATTATACAGCTGAAGCTGTCCTTTACAATTTGGTTCAAACGAATTATTATTCTGTTTTCATGTTTATTGCTTGAAATATATCGTTCAAATATTTAAGATGTTCGTTTTCTGCTATTTCTCTTTCAACGTTAATACCTTACTTTTCTCTCTACTTTTCGCCTATGATTGCCGCCTCTTTTTCTCTCTCCCACCCCAATCTATCTTCCCTCCCAGTCTTTCTTTCGCATAAAAGACGAAGGTAATATCTGCGTCTGGCGCACACTAATCCCATTTTTATTATTGCATCAAGAAGCAAAGATAGCAGAGGGAAGAGCTTTCCGGCTATAAACCTTATCATAATTGCAGGACCTCTATCTAGCGTACCTTTGTCACCTCCGGTCAAAGTGATCGTTTGATTAACTGCCAAGTAACTTTTCAAGAGAGTGCGTTACTGTAAGTAACACGGTGATCTCGTTGAGGTATCATGGGATTACAAACTTCTGACACGCCCTAGTGTTTCCGAAAGTGACGAACGCCTCGTGACACTACAATAATCTACCCAAAGCCCAGCACAGCTCTTTCCGGAGATCAAGTGACAGCAAATTTCTTTAACACTTCAGCACTCTGCTCAGTATTCTTTCAGACTTAAATGATCTTTGAATAGTTTTAATTCTGACTCGGATTTCCAAGTTTTCCAGGGTTTTTTGGAATAGTTCCCAGTATTCAAATAGCTGTGGGTACTACAGTCCTGGTAAAGTTTGATGTTCAGTTTTTCTTATTTCTGCATCCCCATATGATCAGTTGGGACGATTATAGATATGAGAATTTTTGGTTTGGGCTACCATTTTTTGGACGAGCTATTGGAATTTTAATCGATTTGTAGTTTGAAAGCCTCTCCTTCTACTCGCCATGAGAGTTTGTCTTCAGAGTTGTTGTTGTTTTCTAAACTTGTTTTTTTAAATTTCTAAGACACACAATGAGGAAAGATCCTCATTGTGTGTCCTAGAAATTTAAATTCTCTCTTTCTGATGTTAAGTATAGCTGTCCTGTTTGTTACCATTCTCATTAAAACTTCCTCGTTGCTCACATGTTCAGTCGACGTTATTCTGAGCATCCTTCTGTAGAACCACATTTCTGTTGCCTCAAAATTTCTTATTCATCTCTGATGAGATTGTCCAGAATTCACAGTCATAGAGGAAGTTCGATATTACATAATAGTTCAGTACTCTTCTCTTTCTTCTTCTTTCTTCTTCTTTCTTCTTCTTTCTTCTTCTTTCTTCTTCTTCTTTTTCTTCTTCTTCTTCTTCTCTTTCTTTTTTCTTCTTCTTCTCTTTCTTTTCTTCTTCTTCATTTTCTCCTTTTTCTTCTTATTTTTCTTCTTCTTTCTTCGTCGTCTTCTTCTTCTTCTTCTTCTCTTTCTTCTTCTTCTCTTTCTTTTTTTCTTCTTTTTCTTTTCTTCTTCTTCTTCTTCTTCTTCTTCTTCTTCTTCACTTCCCCTCTTTCTTCTTCTTCTTCTTCTTCTTCTTCTTCTCTGTTAATCTCTAATCTTGTAAATCTGTTTTGCAATTTACTGACCTTTAGCAAAAGTTGTACGTGATTAAATATTCTTTTAGGTCACGAATATACGAATTGCGTGAAAATGTTTATATTGGGTTTTATTTATTGCTATTGAATAACTTTTCATCCTAATGAAATAATTAATGGATCTATGGATATTAAGGTAAAAGTAGTGTGAGTGTGTCATGTGTGCAGTTATTTGCAAATCATAGCTTAGTTTGGTACAAGAACTTAATCGTATTGCACCTAGTGAGGATTGAACTCACTATACAAGCAGACTACAAGACAAACATACTCAACAGAAAACATCATAATTTGTAACAGTCGTAATATATTCACTATTATTCTCACAGTAGAACGACTTTAATAGTACAGTTAATATGATTTGAGAGAATGAAAAAAAAATTATGAATATCTTGATAGATTGCCTGCCTACCTACCTACCTACCTACCTGTGGTATTCGTAAAACTTATTACACATTGAACACATAAACGGATTATAGTTTAATACAAAATGTCGCATATAAGTTATTATTATTATGTATGTACCAAAGATACTAAGTGTTTTGTGTTGGGTATAAAGTGACAGCAAGAATCCATAATTCCTCTCGTCGCTTTCGATAGGGCACAGTGTTCCAAATATTACTGGCACAACCATTATCATGATATTCTATATTTCTTGTAGTTCTTGGGCACTTCCTTAATATTCATATATATTTGTTTTCATTTTTAGTTTTTGCTCCTCTACAACAATTATTCTGTCGACGCGCAAATTGTCTTGGGGTCTGGAGTGTGTGACATGAATATCTCTCAAACATTTAAAGTAACTTTTCTTCTTTTCAAATAAGACTTCTGTTTTCTTTGTATATTAATGTTTAATAATCGCAGGAATAAAAGGAACACAATAAGATTTCTTGATGATTGTTTTACTTTCTAACTATAAATACAGTGCTTTCCAGCATTATATGCGAATCAATGAAATTATATGCGAATCAATGAAATTATATGCGAATCAATGAAATTATATGCAAACCAATGAAATTATATGCGAATCAATGAAATTATATGCAAACCAATAAAATTATATGCAAATCAATGAAATTATATGCAAACCAATGAAATTATATGCGAATCAATGAAATTATATGCAAACCAATGAAATTATATGCGAATCAATGAAATTATATGCAAACCAATGAAATTATATGCGAATCAATGAAATTATATGCAAACCAATGAAATTATATGCGAATCAATGAAATTATATGCAAACCAATAAAATTATATGCAAATCAATGAAATTATATGCGAATCAATGTAATTATATGCGAATCAATGAAATTATATGCAAACCAATGAAATTATATGCAAATCGTGCCAGTAAATTTTGTTCAAGCATACTCCGGCAATTCACTAGAAGGGTCACAAAATTTAAGAATTTTCTCGTGCAATAAAATAATTAAATATAATAATAATTTTTTTACGTTCAATAATTCCTGTATACACACACACACACACACACACACACACACACACACACACACACACACACACACACATATATATATATATATATATATATATATATATATATAAAGACAAAAACATTCTGTTCACCATTATATAATTATGATTTCAATTTGACTGGGAGAAAAATAATCAGTATTTGTGTCGCACGAAAGTGTTAGACACACACAATATCTATCTATCTATCTATCTATCTATCTATCTATCTCAGTCTGTTCGTATCTATCTATCTATCTATCTATCTATCTATCTATCTATCTATCTATCTATCTGTGTGTGTGTGTTACTTCAAACATCTTACGTTATCATAAAAGAACTGTTTTAAAGAGAAAAATACGATCTGTGTATAAATATAATTCCCTAAGAAATCTGCTGAAGATTGAATGTAAAAAAAAGGGAGGCCACTCACTGTAGAGGGTTACATTAAGGAGGTAATTTATATGGATAGGAAGGGAAGATAACGGTTAACTAGACTTGAACAGGTTAAAATTGTAATGATTGGGGAAACATCCACTTGGGACTCTGTTCCACAGTGGATGCTGTAAATTCGTTGGATGATCAGTATATATACGTGAAGTAACATTCTGCTTTTTTTATATAATGTTGGAATATAAAAAAATATGATTATTTAATATGATCCCGTTACCATGCAACCATTCGGAAGGTATCAATTCAAAATGATAAGAAGATAAAACCTGAAAAAACAAACAAATAAACAAAACAAAAGAATGATTTATTTAAAGAAATGCCAAAGGGATTTATATGGCACTATCTGCCTAGAATCAATTTGAAATAACAGGAAGATAACTAATAACAAAGAATAAAAAAAAAATCAACAGTTTTTAAAGGAACGACAGGGAAAATTATTAAAAGTTTTCTCGAATGAAAGAGTAGAAGATACAATATTTGTTTATATAATATTCATTTCATTATAATCATTTCAAGCAGCCTAATCTTCATACAATGGACTATGATAAGTTTTTAGCCACTCTTAATTAAAGCAATTTTGGCTTGTGTAATAACGTCTCTTCTTTTTTTTCAGACAATACCGTGTTAGTATCAAACTACTCTCATCTATGAACGATAGTTGACTTATATTTTGCAATGAAAGTTCGCGGAAGTAAGGAAATTGATGAATTTCAACGAGGGCAAATAATAGGATGGCATCAGTGTGACAAGTCAAATAGAGAAATTGCTAAGTTTTTCCAGGTTAATCATCAAAGGCTTTTCTTAGGCCACTGTAGAAGTGAAATTCAGAATTTTTTAGTAGTCTATGGATTCACAAAATTCATTCTTTCATAAAAATTACTTGTCGATGCTCCAAAGATTTTCGATTGAGTTCAAATCACACACAGACCCCTCCATCAATCATTTTATTCTTTTTTAAAAGTCTAAATTAGGTAAGTCTTGCAATAGCAGCCTTAACCGAAAGAATATTATTGTGCATAAATACAAGCTTCGTTTGAATGATGGTGTCTTCTTTCTGGGCTGTCTGAATGTTGGAATTCGATGAAAACAGAAAAGTTAATTTTGACGCAGCAATACTCTAGAGATTAACCAACTTATTGACAAGGATTTCTGTCCAAAACATAATTCCTCCTCATTCTCGTCCAGACTAACCAAAAAATCTTCCTTTAGATATCAACATTTTGTCAGCCCTCGAGGAAAATCCTGCATTTCCCGACACACATCTGTGAATTAAACTCAATTTTAGATACCTTTCAGTTCAGGTAATGTGTCTAGAGAGATGTTTCTTTTTTAGCTGAAGGCAAACCCTGGCTTTAACGTATGTTACTAAGTGTTTCAGGATGCGGCATCGTAAGGTTCTAGATAAGTTTGGAGTATCAATGACAAAAAATAATTTTTCGTTACTTTTTACTGCACGATTTCTTTAAATGTAGTTCCATTTGTTAAGTAAAAAGTACCAATCCAACTTTCCCTTGTCAGCAATTGTAATGCAAGCAACCAGATTGGAGATTTATTTATTGATCATACGTTACTATTTTGCCAAAGTTTTAACAATTTCTTGTGTTGTTTTTTCTTAATTCAGTATTTGAACATTTTTTGAAATTTCCCTTTTATACAAAATGTTTGTTTCTGTTAATGTTGCATAAAATTTTTAACGATGGAAAAGAAACGATATCACCAAATGGCTACTGGATAGTTAATGCGAGCCCCCAAAAGATATTTAACTGTGCACAACATTGCGCATGTGGCTGAATTAAGTAAACGCCTACTCCGTCTGCGGCAGAATACACAACTCACATAACTGAAAAATTTCAACCGAACCACAAGTGGCTCAGACCTTGTTGGGAGATGAGTGATTTTATCGAGTCAAAATCTCTAGACTAATTGCTAACCAAGGCTATGGAACAAAGTCTGTCCTGCTATTTGACCCATAACTGGGGGATAGAGGAGATGGATTCCTACTTTTCCCAAGGCTTTGCAACTTTCATATAATACTGGAAGTAGGTTTTTAGCATTACATATCGGATATACACATCCATATACGCACACTGGAATTGACAATGACAGGAGACATAACAATCAATTATCAATCAACCAGAGAGCTCTAAATATACAAATAAGGTCTGGTTTTCTAGAAGAAAAAAGAAAATTAGCTTAAATTGGGCCATTTTGACTTTTGGCTGACGTAGTAAAGAATACCTCACGTGATCGTTTAGATAGAATGATGAATTTATGAAATTGCATTGTTTAATTTTTAAAAACCCATGCGAGCAGATATCTAATAAAAATCTGGCAATACGAAAAGTCAATATTAGAAAATTTACTCGCGTTAAGAGATACAGTGTTGCCGCTGCTTTAACGAAGACCAACTGACGGTTACTCAATATTGCAGCATATCTACGGACGATAAAGAGTATGTCCCCATTCACAGAAATACAGTAGTAAATACTGTATGTTGGTCTGTAGTTGGAGATTCGTCTCCAGTTGTGCTGGTCAAACTCTCTGCCTCTGGGCAGGGAGGATACACAGACGAGGCTATATCGAAGGGCAGAGTCTCGTCTCGGGAAACAGCTACACGATCTCATTTTATACGGGGTCTACGGTAATTTTTTTTCGGGCTCGGATACTCCACATTAAATTCATCTCTATGCCACATGTGACCGCGTAGGGTGGTTGGTAGATATCCTGCAGTCGGGGATTTGTCTCCAGCTGTGCTGGTCAAAATCTCTTGCATCTGAGAAGATCCCCAGACGAGGCTATGTCGAAGGGCAGAGTCTCGTCTCGGGAAACAGCTACCCGACCCCGTTTTATATGGTGTCTACAGGGAATTTTTGGCCGGCCGAGCCTACGGGCTCGGATACACCTCATTAAATTCCGCCTTGTGCCAGATTTGACCGCTTGTGGCGGTGGATAGATATGCTGCAATTGGAGATTCATTGTAGACTCACTTGACTCACTTCTAGCAGTTGATTTACGAACGAACTCATCACCAGGCCGCCGCAGCACGTGGCCGAACCACCGGAGTCCCCTGTTAAGCAGAGTTTCTTCCAGGCCCAGAATGTTGCATTTGGCGCGGATGAACGAGTTGGGGATCCGGTCGGAGAGGTGCACGCGCAGGATACGGCGGAGGCAGTAGGGATCGAAGACCTCAAGCTTATGAAGATCATCTCTGCGTAGTGGTCAGGTCTCACAACCATAGTGAAGAATTGTTCTGACCATGGCTTCGTAGATTCGCAACTTCGTGGATCGTCTTATCTCCTGGCGAGACCAAAGTCCAATCCAAATGTGGGATCTGTGGGTGTTGAATAAACACAACTGTGCCTGAGCAAGCGTCTGTAATAAGGATCGGTTAGCCGCCCTAGTAGTCTGGTATTCTTGAATACGAATAGCTAGCTATTATTATTATTATAGTGTGTCACAGAAATCCGAAGAGCGAAAGATGTATTCCAGAAAGTAAGTGATAGGAAAATTTAATTGAACTTTTATGTAGCATCTAATCTCCTTTATACTCAGGGATGAAGAAGAGAGTTGAAGCGACAGAGATGTGGTTCTATTAAGGAATGCTAAGAAATCTATAGACAGAAAATGTAACAACGAGGACATTTTAAAGCAAACAGGAAATGATGACAAAGAGACGGTTTACACGTAATGAGGAAAGACAGTTTGGAGAATTTAAAACACACATGATCTGTTGAAAGCAAGCGAAGCTGGAAGAAACGGTGAGCAACCAATTTAAGGAGTTTCTGTGAATGGATAAAAAGGAATAGTAAAGAATCAAAACTTACTTTTTCCGTGTCCCTCGGGACGTTAGCGATCATGGCTCTCCACAATTTCTTGTCCTTTGTAATTCTTAATTAATTTTATCTTTTAATTATCACCTTTAGACACCTCTCTGTTTTCCCTTTATACAAACTCGCTAGGTTATGCGTTGGTTTCCACTGTCCCTCTTAGAGTCACGAAAAACAGGAAATTTGTGAAGAGAATCGCCTACGTCTTGAAGGGATATCGCGTAAAAAAGAAGAAAGATGAATTCTCTTGTAATCTAATAATTACTTTTCTTAATTATTGGTTTTTATTTTAAAATTTTATTCCATCGACCAGCGGAGAATGTAAATGAATGATATTTTGCAATTTTTGTAGACATCAGTTCAAAAATATTACAAAAATAAAGGTGGAATTCATTAGTTGTTGCTTTTCTGATTTATTCAAATATACAAACCCCCTTTTGACTAACTACCGGTGATTCAATTATTTTACCATAATTCGTCTCCTTTTAAGTAAAAAGACTTAAATAAAATCAGGTGCTCGAAAGATTGTAATGTACAGACACTAATCAAATATTAAAAATGGTTCTTTGGTAAATCCCATTTGATAATTACATAAAATTCGTTATTGCTATTCGTCAAGCGTGGATGATTCAATGAATCTAATGTGTTCGTCTCAATACCAAACTGATAATTCTTGATTTCTATTAGTTGTCATGTATCAAGCAGTGTGTCGTCTCGTGTTTCGCCTGGGGGAACTTGTCAATCTCAGTTCCAAATTATTGTAATCGGCGTCGAATTAATTCTTTGGTTTCTTGTGAAAAGATTTAATAAAATCAGTTGCGTCAAAAAATATCTGGCTTCCAGTCATATGTGGCTTGAAGTAAAAATGAATTGAGGTCTATTAACATGGTGACTTACACAGCGCATTCTCGCTGTAGACTGGTTGGAGGTGCTTACTGACAAGATGGTAATCCCTGGATAACTCACTTGAAAGATTCAGTCGTGAGTTGTGTGCCGTTACGTCCGGTTATACGGATTACCCCACCCCAAAATATGAGGCTTCCTTTTCTATACCAATTTTCACCAAATATAAGGCCCAAGAGCCACTCAAGTTAGAGGGTTATTGTGTGGTGTTGCATGAGTAAAGTTTATGGGGCTATGCAGAACAATAAAACGGTTAACCCTAGACTTGAAGATGTCAAGATTGTAGCGATTGGGAAAACATCCTGAAGGGAGTCCGTTACACAAAGAAATAGTTTTGGGGAAAAAGCTGCCCGAATGATACTTACTTTTGACTACATGTATACGGGGGGAATGGATATGACTCACTCTTGCGTACGTGGCTTGGAGGGTCAAGGATGGTGGGACTAAGGAATGAAGCTCATCAGAGCACATGTCATACAAATAGTGATAGAGCAACGAGGAATCTCGCGACGTTTCATCTGTGGGAAAGGGTTTGCAAAGCGGAAAATAGTTCATTACCCAAAAGGCCACGTAGACGCTTTTGGACTATATCAAGATAAGCAAGTGAGGACTGGGCAGCTCCAGGCCTGATATGGCATCAATACACCTTTTTGCGTTTAATCTTACTCTTGTAATAAACAAGAAAAGATTCACAGATACAATAAAAATGTGATTAAGGGCCTAATAAAAAAAATGAAGGATTAACAGATGTAACAAAATGTAATTAATATTCTTATAAACAAAGAATGATTAACAGATGTAATAAAATGTGCTTATCAGCCTAATAAACAAATAAGGATTAACAGATGTAATAAAAATGTGCTTACCAGCCTAATAAACAAGGCAGGATTCACAGATGTAATAACAATGTGCTTATCAGCCTAATAAACAAGGAAGGATTAACAGATGTAATAAAAATGTGATTACCAGCGTAATAAACAAGGAAGGATTATCAGGGGGGGGGGTCAGATACCTACTGGAGGGGTAAGGTAATGTAAGAAGATACTATAAAATCATCAGGTCTTGGTCTGTTGATGTGGACATGGCGACCCGCGGTTTTAATTACTGACATTTTTTTTTAATATAATGCGAAACTGCTGGGGGGTGGATTTGATAATGTTTGTCACGGTAGGCCTAATGTCAGTTATTCGACCAGCTTCTGATGGCTGAATGAAAAGGTACCATTTCAAGCTGTTATCATACATGTTTGTCACTCCTGCTCATTTGTGGATGCACGGATTCACTTCCGATTTAGACCGAAGGAGCATACTAGGAAATGATTCAGATCGAGCAAAAAGAACCAGACAGGAGAGACTTTGCTTCTTGATGCCATTTCACCTCCTTAGGCGTCTCGTGATTTGAAACATTAGCTTCACTTTGTGAAGAATATTTAAGCAATATATTTTACACAACTTTACTGGCCTGTATTTTAAATTTCGACAGAGTTCAAGTATTTTTCGACTATGGTATGAAATTTGGGGCCTTATTAAAGGAGGGTACAAATAAATATCTGGTTGCATTGCGTCTTCGATGGTGGAATAAATTCTAGCAGAATGTGAAGACTTGCCTTTTTATTTTTGACCCGAGAATACAATCATTGAAATATATACCTCATTGTTCCAGTTCTCAAAAAACGAATCAGTTTTCTTTTTCCTGAAATAATCTTATTTATAGATTTAATAGATTTATTTTTAGAAATTATATTCATATTTATTGTTTATTATTTCTGCAATCAGGATCAAAACACATCCCTTTCAAATCAAAATACTTGTTTTAAATGATAGCTGATGTAAAAAGCGGACAAAGCATGTGCCGTGAAGATTCGAAGAGATCTACCTGAGCTCTGCGATCCACTGCCGACTCAACAACATGTGATAAACTGTTTTGACCAAGTATTTGGTTAAGGAATAACAAAAAAAGAGGTTGCAGATAAATAGTGTATTGAACAGTAAATACAACAGAAGAGTATTATACGACTTGGGAGTGTGTGTCGGTTGACCAACGTTCAGTCTATATCACTGATTCTCCTGAGGTCTAGTTTTCCTACTAACTTTATAGTAAGTGGAAGAGTTCACAATAGCCTCATAAAAGGGAACATGCCACAACATAACAAAGATATTTTACTGTATGACGTTTTTGGTAATCTTTATCGACTACCATAGTAGAAATAACCATCGGTTATGTCTAGAGATAAAACGTCATGTTTGGAGGTAACACACTATATTTTCAATTTGAGTTGAGTGCATTCAAACTTAGAAAGTCCTTGACAAATAGGAGGATTTAAAATAAAACTGATTGGAATAAAACTTTTGAAATCATAATCTTACCAATTTGGTAATTCTTTAGTATTAGATTTTTGTGATGAGTCAGATTGTTAATTGTTATCAACTGAACAGGAATTAAAAATGAACAGTGGATAATGGGTTTGAATCAAGATGTGACAATCAGTTTGGAACAACAGCAAATTATATAAAAACAACAGGACTAGATTCTTACAATCCAGTTTTCTTAATCATATACGTAACATGTGGGTTTGTGTGTGTATGAACATTATTGAATGGTTATCAATTTTGATCACGCGATGCCTCTAAAAGTAGAAACGCGATTATACCAAAATATAACTTGACAATTTTTTCCTTTCGAATTATTTGATTGTTTTAAACAATGGAAAACTAATTGCATGAACGAACATCGACCTTCCATAATTGCGTTTATAATTTCTATTTTGAGAAGCAAAATTAAGCAACGCGCGGACTCGACAGAAAAGTGTTAACCCCCTTAGATTGTGCAAAATGTTAGTTTACGTTGTGGTTGATATAATATTGAAAGCGAAGTTAAAAAGTTTGGCTTTTGAATAAGGATTTTCAAGAGAAGCAAGCAGCAGCTTCTTATACGGGAGCATCGGTGCATCATAATCAAAACACCATATTTCTTCCTATTCGATATTTTAATGTAAGGAGTTTTACTTAGTAGAGAGTCTAAGAAACAAAGAAAGATTAAGAGATATAATGAAAATCATATTAAGAACCTAATAATCAAGAGGGGATTAAGAGATGTAATAAAAATGGGATACAAGGCCAAAGAAACAAGGAAAGATTAATAGATGTAGTAAAAAATCTCCTGAGGAAAAAAGGGAAGGATTATTAGATGGAATAAAATAAGATTTAGAGCCTAATATACAAGAAATGATGCACAGATACAATAAAAATGTGATAAAGGGCCTAAGAAAAAAAATGAAGGATTAACAGATGTAACAAAATGTAATTAATATTCTTATAAACAAAGAAGGATTAACAGATGTAATAAAAATGGGCTTACCAGCCTAATAAACAAGGAAGGATTAACAGATGTAATAAAAATATGATTACTGGCCTAATAAACAAGAAAGGATTAACAAATGTAATGAAAATGTGCTTACCAGCCTAATAAACAAATAAGGATTAACGGATGTAATAAAAATGAGCTTACCAGCCTAATAAACAAGGAAGGATTAACAGATGTAATAAACAAGGAAGGATTAACAGATGTAATAAAAAGGTTATTTAGAAACAAAGAAAACTGATGTCCTTCTGAAAGTTTTAAAAAGCAGCTTCAGGGATTTTTACCTTTCTTGAAAAAGGCACAAATCCATGTCCGTTTCCTGCTAGTTATTAGAAAAAAGTCAGGGAAACTGGGATTTCTAATCGTGATTGGCAAGCAGCCTAGGAGAAGGAAAACTCTGAATTCAGTGCAGTCTGAAGTTCGGGTAAAGATGGAAGATTAGGCGAAGATACTGATTTTCTATTCAGACCGCACCCACGGCAAAATGAGATTGCGCCTTAGGTTCTTTGAAGATTCCGCAAAAATAGAAGATAACAAAAATAAGCTAAGCTTAATAAACAGAAAGAGAATTTCCAGTAATCCATTTAAAAATAAACACAAAATTCTTGTGTTTTAAATAATCTTTCTCTCCCCCGTTTCTTTGTCTTGACTTTGTGGATAAGAAAATTCAGAAAAATAGAATTTATACTGAATTGTATTAAAATCATTTCATTTTCAATTTACATTATAATTCTTTGATTTTCCAGACAAAACTTAGTTTCATTAATGATAAAATCGTTTAAATTTTATCTGTTACTAATGGAAACCATATAAGTGCAGATATATTCTTTTTTGTCCTTGTAGCAAGTTTATCTAAATGAATTGACAGTCATATAAGAGACGAACAATTCCTTCCCCTTCTCAGGTTAACTTGAATTTTATAAATTAGCAGCAGATAAGCCCTCTACTTTCGGATGCTTACATATTTAACAAAAAATTTACAATTTCCATATCCCAAGTATCAAATCTCGAGGGAATATAGATACATGCGCAACACTTTCATCGAAAATAAACGCTGGCCGATTTAATGTGAATTTTCAAGATTGATCCTAGCAATAGAGACCAGAACAATATCACAAGCTGATTCATTTTCAGTTGATTAAACCAATAGCATCGAAATGTCGATATAAAGTCAGTTTTATGATATTCTAGAATCACATCGAATGGAATATTTGTCGAATGATAAAGAAAATAGGTAAAATAAATATGTCATGGGTAATGTACTAGAAATCGAACACTGGGTATCCTTTGTTTAAAATTCCAATATAAGTGAGATCACATTTTCTTGAACTGCGTCGGCGTTCTGTCAAGCTAAAATAGACAGATATTGTGCTGTAGGAATCAAGTTATAATATCTCAGACGGAGTCAACGAAAATTTCAAGTGAGGCAACTGAACAAACTGGGCTCGAAAATAGACAATAAAACTCGTTAGTGTTCAGAGAAAGGCAAATCAAACGACAACTCTGTCCAGTAGGTTAGAACGTAAAGTCGATCTGTTCCTTTAGTAGGAAGCACCATATTCCTTTATTTTAAATTGCAGGATTGTGAAGGAAAATGCTGCTATAATTAAATAAACAAAGTCAGTATGAATCCTCATCGTTATTTAATTAATTGTTTAAAGTGATGTTATAGGTGTAGAGAAGACAATGCTAAATAATTGTTTGACGTAATTGGTATACAAGAGAGAGGTTAAATAATTGTTGGACGTCATGTGAATGGTGTACGAAAGTCGTTGTTGATGAGATGTGATTGATGTACAGAAGAAAGACTAAATAATTGTTTGACGTGATATGATTGGTGTAAAAAAGGGAGGTTAAATAATGGTTTGGTTGGATTGGGGTACAGAAGGGAAGCTAACTAATGATTTGACGTGATGTGATTTGTATAGAGAACCGTGGCTAAATCATTATTTGACGTGGTTGGTGGACAAAAGAGAGCTCAATAATAGTTTGACGTGAAGTGGTAGATAGGTGTACTGAAGGGAGGTTAAAACGTTGGTTGACATGATATGATTGGTGTACAGAAAGGAGGAGAAATAATGATTTGACATGATGTGATTACTGTACAGAAGGGAGGTAGAAAAATTGTTTGACGTGATGTGATTGGTGTACAGAAAGGAGGAGAAATAATGATTTGACATGATGTGATTACTGTACAGTAGAGAGGTAGAACAATTGTTTGACGTGATGTGATTGGTGTACAGAAAGGAGGAGAAATAATGATTCGACATGATGTGATTACTGTACAGTAGAGAGGTAGAACAATTGTTTGACGTGATATGATTGGTGTACAGAAAGGAGGAGAAATAATGAGTCGACATGATGTGATTACTGTACAGAAGAGAGGTAGAATAATTGTTTGACGTGATGTGATTGGTGTACAGAAAGGAGGAAAAATAATGATTTGACATGATGTGATTACTGTACAGAAGGGAGGTAGAATAATTGTTTGACGCGATGTGATTGGTGTACAGAAAGGAGGAGAAATAATGATTTGACATGATGTGTTTACTGTACAGAAGAGAGGTAGAATAATTGTTTGACGTGATGTGATTGGTGTACAGAAAGGAGGAGAAATAATGATTTGACATGATGTGATTACTGTCCAGAAGAGAGGTAGAATAATTGTTTGACGTGATGTGATTGGTGTACAGAAAGGAGGAGAAATAATGATTTGACATGATGTGATTACTGTCCAGAAGAGAGGTAGAATAATTGTTTGACGCGATGTGATTGGTGTACAGAAAGGAGCAGAAATAATGATTTGACATGATGTGATTACTGTCCAGAAGAGAGGTAGAATAATTGTTTGACGTGATGTGATTGGTGTACAGAAAGGAGGAGAAATAATGATTTGACATGATGTGATTACTGTACAGAAGAGAGGTAGAATAATTGTTTGACGTGATGTGATTGGTGTACAGAAAGGAGGAGAAATAATGATTTGACATGATGTTTTTACTGTACAGAAGAGAGGTAGAATAATTGTTTGACGCGATGTGATTGGTGTACAGAAAGGAGCAGAAATAATGATTTGACATGATGTGATTACTGTACAGAAGAGAGATAGAATAATTGTTTGACGTGATGTGATTGGTGTACAGAAAGGAGGAGAAATAATGATTTGACATGATGTGTTTACTGTACAGAAGGGAGGTAGAATAATTGTTTGACGCGATGTGATTGGTGTACAGAAAGGAGGAGAAATAATGATTTGACATGATGTGTTTACTGTACAGAAGAGAGGTAGAATAATTGTTTGACGATGTGATTGGTGTACAGAAAGGAGGAGAAATAATGATTTGACATGATGTGATTACTGTACAGAAGAGAGATAGAATAATTGTTTGACGTGATGTGATTGGTGTACGAAAGGATAATGATTTGACATGATGTGATTACTGAAAGGAGGAGAAAATTGTTTGATTTGATTGGTGATGATTTGACATGATGATTACTGTCCAGAAGAGAGGGTAGAATAATTGTTTGACGCGATGTGATTGGTGTACAGAAAGGGGCAGAAATAATGATTTGACATGATGTGATTACTGTCCAGAAGAGAGGTAGAATAATTGTTTGACGCGATGTGATTGGTGTACAGAAAGGAGCAGAAATAATGATTTGACATGATGTGTTTACTGTACAGAAGAGAGGTAGAATAATTGTTTGACGCGTGATTGTGTATTGAAAGGAGCAGAAATAATGATTTGACATGATGTGATTACTGTACAGAAGGAGAGAATAATTGATTTGACATGATGTGATTGGTGTACAGAAAGGAGGAGAAATAATGATTTGACATGATGTGATTACTGTACAGGTAGAATAATTGTTTGACGTGATGTGATTGGTGTACAGAAATGAGGAGAAATAATGATTTGACATGATGTGATTACTGTACAGAAGAGAGAGATAGAATAATTGTTTGACGTGATATGATTGGTGTACAGAAAGGAGGAGAAATAATGATTTGACATGATGTGTTTACTGTACAGAAGGGAGGTAGAATAATTGTTTGACGCGATGTACAGAAGGAGAGGTAATGATTTGAATTGATTACTGTACAGAAGAGAGGTAGAATAATTGTTTGACGTGATATGATTGGTGTACAGAAAGGGGGAGAAATAATGATTTGACATGATGTGTTTATTGTATAGAAGGGAGGTAGAATAATTGTTTGACGCGATGTTATTAGTGAACAGAAGAAAGGCTAAATAATTGTTTGACGGGATTGGATTTAAATACAGAAGTGAGGCAAAATAATTGTTTGACTTGATTGGCGTACAGAAATGTCGCTAAATAATTCTTTGACGCGATGTGATTAAGTGTGCTTAAATAATTGTTTGACGATATGTCATTGCTGTACTGAAGAGAGGCTAAGTAATTGTTTGACACTGATTCGTGTACGAAAGGTAATATAAATAATTGTTTGACGTGAGTGGATTGGTGGACAGAATAATGGCTAAATAATTGTTTAATGATACATCATTGGTGTACAGAAGAGAGCATAAATAATTAATGTGATAGAATTGGTGTCCAGAATTAAGCTAAATATTTGTTTGATGCGATGTAATTGGTGTACATAAGAAAGACTGAATAATTGTCTGAAGATATATGACTGGTGTACAGAAGGGTGGCTAAATAATTGTTTGGTGCGATCTGATTGGTGTAAACAAGGAACAGTAAATATTAGTTTATCGTGATGTAATTTTTTGTATACAGGCGTGGCTAAATCATTATTTGACGTGATTGATGTACAGAAGGGAATCTAATTAATACTGTGGCCTTATGTGATTGGTGTCCGGAAGGGAGATTATATCCTTGTTTGACGTGATGTGATTGGTGCAAAGAAAGGAGGATAAATAATGGTTTGACATGAAGACTGTACAAAAGAGAGGTAGAATAAGACTTGATGGGATTAATCTACAGAAGAGAGGTTAAATAATGGTTTGACATGAAGACTGTACAAAAGAGAGGTAGAATAAGACTTGATGGGATTAATCTACAGAAGAGAGGTTAAATAATAGCTTGGTAGGATTGGTGTACAGAAGCTAAATAATTTTTGAAGCGATTTGATTAGTGTACAAGTATGAATGTTAAAGGTTAAATTCTTGTATCACGTGATATGATTGGCGTACAGAAGGTTGGCTGTATCATTGTTTGACGTGATTGGTGTACACAAGGGAGACTAAATAATAGTTTGGCACCATGAGATTGATGTACAGAAGGAAGGTTAAATAATTTTTGAAGCGATTTGATTAGTGTACAAGTATGAATGTTAAAGGTTAAATTCTTGTATCACGTGATATGATTGGCGTACAGAAGGTTGGCTGTATCATTGTTTGACGTGATTGGTGTATACAAGGGAGACTAAATAATAGTTTGGAACCATGAGATTGATGTACAGAAGGAAGGTTAAATAATTTTTTGAGAATATGTAATTGGTGCATACAAGGGTGGCTAAATAATTGTCGTGATTCGTGTACAGAAAATAGGATATATAATTGTTTGGCGTGATGAGATTGGTGTACAGAAGGAAGGCTATATAATTGTTTGGCGTGATTTGATTGGTCTGGGGAAGAGAGGCTACTTCATCGACTGAACATTACGATATAACACAGTTATCGGTCTTTCCAAAGAAGTTATCAATTCTAAAGAGAAGAGAGAACTGGGAATAAAGAATAAAATTGATAGAATCACTCGTTGGGGCAAATAATCAAGACAGGACGACGGGATCGATCTTACGTAGCATTTGTAAAATAAAAAAAAAATTCTCTACAAATTTTTTTTTTCAATTTTGAATAATTCCAATCCCACATATTTTGAGATATTTGAAAACCTTTTGTTTTAAAATAGTAGACACAAAAAAAAAACCATGAGTTATTCACTTTCTTTCATTTGCTACTTCGTTTCAAAACTACATTTGGTATTTGAAAAAATAAAACTCCGCGCCTTGCTGAGATTTGATAATCTAATTTGTAATTAAACATGTGCCTGAAATATTATCAAATGTCCTCAGGAATCTGATCGTATCACTTAAGGACTTGGTCCAAAATGAGTTTTGGGAATTAACTATGACTCATCTGAGACCCAAGTCCCATTAACCAAGAAAGCAAGATCTTGCTTTATATTCTAATAGAGGCACATGAACACAATACACAGCATCCCCGAGCAAATTTTCTGAAGATAATCAGATCGCTTTATATTTTTATCTTAAGTTTTAATCGCGATAGTTACTTTACCCTGATTTTCTTTGAAGAAGAAACGTGGACCTTTTAGAAAATCCATGGAATTGTTTCACATTTAACAGATACAATATACTTATCTAGATTTACTAATGCTCTGGAGTTTCTGAATTTACACCGTAGAGCCATTTTGAAATGAATGAACATTTGAAACGTGCACAGCCTATTCTTTTTCAGATGTGAATCGAAAAAGAAAGAGATTCGTTTGAATAAAGGAAGTCTTTACTGAAAAAAAAAAAAAAAAAATTAAGAAGCTTTGAAAAGTCAGTTTAATAAAAAATTGTATAGAATTTTAGGGACAAGAAAATCGCCTTGTTTATTAGATTTAATCCCATGAGAAAACTTATATTAACGATTGCTGTAAAAGCATTAATGGGTCTATTATATTCATCTCTCTCTCTCTTTCGCTCTCTCTCTCTCTATCTGTCTATTTCATTCTGTTCATCTCCCACTCACTATGTATCCCATTCTGTTCATTGCTCTCTCTTTCTATCTGCCTCTTTCTATATGTCTCTTTCTGTTCATTATCTATCTATCTATCTATCTATCTATCTATCTATCTATCTATCTATCACATTTTGTTCATATCTATCTGTGAGTGTGAGCGTATATGTGCATGTATGTGTATAAATTAGGAGCTAAAAATTGTAAAATTTTAAATATCACATATAATAATAAAAAATGTACAAGTTTTAAAGAATAAATTCTTAATCTTTTAATGCTTAAGAATTAAAAGATTAGCAATCATGAAAACAGTGCATGATGGGATATGAGAAATATTCATTAAACCTAAAATATGACTTAGATTCCAGACGCTATCCAATTCCAATTGAATTCAAAAATTGAATGAAAATCTTGATTTGGTTTAACGCGTTTCCGCAAAAAGACAACGTCGTTATTAATTTTGACACTTTCATTTTTGTCGGCAAGACCACCATTTTATGAGTCATAGGGGAAATTTAATGGAATGTTTTCGGATATAAATATTAATTTGTTAGGTTAACCTCATGCGCAACCCCCCTCCCCAACACACACATACACTCAGCTCCAGTAAGTGCGGTCAACCTATACACAAACCATACGAATCGTATATAAATTATTTCTTCGGAGATACTTAAAAGTCGACTTATATACAAAGCATGTATGAATAATTTGGGGGGAGAAATTCGAAGACCGCCTTAAACACAAGATCAACGTATACACGGCTGTTTATATTAATTGGTTTATTTCAAAATATGAAAAAATATTTAAGAACGAAGGAATGTAAAGTCTTTTGTTTATTGTTAATTTTGTATTTATGAATATGTATTGTTTTAATTTTGAGTTTAAAATCAAAATCTAGTACTGTTTTTATGGCGATTCGAACTAGAGGCAAAAATATCAAATTAATTTAAAACTTTCTTTTTAAGTGTAAGCATGAAAGATTAAAGACTGAACTTTACAATAATCTATTTTGCGAAGAAAAAATGATTATTTGTGAGCTTATTAATGGTTCCTTATGCTTTTCAGTCTGTCTGTGTGTCTGCCTTTGTGTCTGTCTCTTTCGATCATTCATCAACATTCAACATCTATCATTCCTTGTAAATCAGAGCATTTAAATCAATTGATGCAGACGAAACAGATGAAATAGGCAAGTGGAATCCGAGTAAGCACGAGGCGAGACGGAGCGTTCATTTTCACTGAAGGCAACACAAAAATCTATAATGCTAAGTTTTGGACTTCAATATTTAAACAGATTGAGCTAACTTTTCAATTTCTGATTTGACAACAAACGAAAAATTTACATGCGTGAATATAATCCGAAGTAGAATAAACTATCCTTCTGCGTCAGTTCTGGGAATGACGATAAACTACATCCGGCAGAAATGGCCTCTGATAGGGATATTGTAGTTTTTGAGGAGTGTGGAACCACCTCTTAATTGCTGCTGTTCCCAGGTCTACCCTGACCCGGGGTATTAGCACCTCCCAGGGTCCCAGCTATGAGCAAATAGTGAAAACAAAACATCATGGAAAGCATAAAAATACAATTTGATAAAATGTTTATAGAATGACTAACAATATATTTTATCCGTTTTTTCTTGAAGGCATACAATTACGTTTAAAATATATTTAGTTGAAGCCATAAAATTATATTCAAAATATTTAGATAACCCATAGAGATGTTGATATGCCACTAAACAAAATCATGCAACCAACATGAAAAACGCTTTCATGGCATTAATCCATATAATATCCAACAATTTCTTAAAGAAAACAAACTGTATTCTAAAATATAACTTAAAAAAAAAAAACTACAACATAAAACACACCTATCACCCCCTCTAGTAATCATGTCCCCACAAACTTGTATATGCACAAAAGCTGAGTATTATCTACCATGTATTCAGTTGTGAAAGCAGAATAACATCTATTTTTATTACTTCAAATTTTCCAAGAAAATTAAATTTCGGAATTAAATGAGTTGATATGACGTTAAACAAAAATACATACAAATCGTCTGCATCTGATGCATTGATATTTTAGAGCAATTAGACGACTACGCTCACTTTTTATCTTTGTGATATTAATACTAGGTGACTAATATTTAAATTTCCATTTCTAAACAAAACTCTTGGCGAGGGAAGGGGTAGCTATGATTACCAATCAGTAACGTTCGGAGGTTGAACAACTGTGGCCAGTTACCTAATGTAAAACAAGAGATGAGTAGGCTAAAAATCAACATCTTAGGTGCATGTGAAAGTAGGTGGTCAAACAACAGAGATTTTGTCAGTGACAATCACAGTATCATATATGCAGGCGAAGAGAAAAATGATAAAGGAGTAGGACTGATATTAGATCAAGAATTCCAGAAATGCCTTCTGGGATACTACCAACTATACGAAAGAATTCTGGTAGACAAGCTGAAAGGAAAACCTTTCAACGTAGTTATCATAATAGTGTATGCACCGACAGCGCAAAGTAAGGAAAAAGAAATCGAATTTTTCTACTCCATGCTAGACAGTGTCAAGGCTCTTTGCAAATCGCAGGAAGTCATAATTATCATTGGAGACCTGAACGCCGACGTAGGCAAGGAGAAGGCAGGGGATATAGCCGGAAAATTCGGACTATTAACCCGAAACGAACGTCGAGAAAAATGGATCCAATGGTGCAGGGCCAATGAACAGGTAATAGCCAACACATAGTCCCAAGAACATTCAAGACAATTATAGATATGGAGGAACCTCCCAAAACAAAAACAAAACAAAACAAAAAAAGAAACGAAAAACAAATTGACTACATAACTATCAGCAAAAGATTCAGGGATGCAATGATTTACAGAAAAACCTCCCCAAGTACCGACTGCGGAAGCGACCATCGCACTGTTATATGGAAACTAAGAATGAAACTGCGGAAATTGAAGAAGCCTAACGCAGCACCCAAATTGCAATACAACAAACTTCTGAGAGACCCAAACCTGAAGGAAAATATATATGGACAGCGTGAAAAGAAGAGACGAGGGACACAACGGAAACTCGAAATGGGACGCACTAAGAGAAGCTTTATTGGCATCAGCAAATGATATCATCTCAAAGGAGAAAAAAAAAGGGTGGATGACTGATGAGATTCTCGACATGATGCAAAAGAGGCAGAAAATTCTGCTAAGATACGGGGCGGAATACAGAAAACTACACAATGAAATAAGGACCAAATGCAGGCAGTCCAAAGAAGAGTGGCTAAACAAAATATGTGCAGTAATAGAGAGATTGTGTACCATCAACAAAGGAGATATGCATAAACAAATAAGCGAAGTAACAGGAGAAAAGACGTGCTCGTTAACAGGCTGCATAAAATCCAATGATGGAACGTTCATATTAGAGAAGGAAAAATTCTCCAACGCTGGAATGAATACATTGGAGAATTTTTGTACGACGAAAGAGAACAACCGGCAATACACAGAATTACCGACGGGCCTGGAATTCTAAAAACCGAAGTAGAATCTGCACTGGCCATATTGAACAGAAACAAGGCGGCAGGGTCAGACAGAATTGTAACGGAAATGCTGACAAGCCTTAGATGATTTTGGCATAGAAAAGATTACGGAAATAATAAATGAAATCTATGTGACGTCGTCCCCCCCCTGGTCGCAGCGTCGACTGTGTCGTTCGATCCCGTTCGCGGCGCCAGCCGTTCGCGCTGCAGCTCCAAGTGTGACGTTCTAACCCTTTGGTTAGATTGAATACCAGCCTCGTCGTTCCCAACCCGCTTCCAACGCCTGGTTACCAGGGTAACTGCACTGATCTCCGGTCTGCCTACCCACGTTGTGATTAGATCTTAGACAGACGGGATCAAACAGGGATTGGGCCGTATGCAAGCTGAGTCCAACGGGGGTGATAACACAAGAAAAATAAAAACTCACAAGGTCAAAAATATTGAAGAAAAAGGTAACAACTTTTTATATCTAATTGCTCGTTACACAAGATTATTCCTACCTCCCGACCCGTTCTGTGGACTGTGGCCCCACGCTTCTACCAGGCTTTAAGGCTTCGAGTTGCCTGCTCTCTAGAAATTTGCATTTCGGGGTGTGGTTTGGTTTCAACACTGGGCGCTGATCTCTGCTTGTCGTTCACGGCTGATCTCTCTCGCCGTCCGCGGCGCAAACTCTCTCGCCATCCGTGGCTGCAACTAACTCTCCTCTTCAGAGTCTGAATTATTGGTCACTCATCTCTGCCGTCAGTGCGCGAATTAACTTCTTCTCTTCGGCTTCGGTTGGACGAGCTTATTCACTTCGGCTTGGGTTGGACGAACTTCTCTTCTTAGGCCAAACGGACCGGCCTTTCTTGTCCGCAAAGGGGCGAATGAACCGGGGCCGCCGTCCGCGCTCAAACTCCCTCGCCGTCCGCGGCGCAACCCTCTCGCCATCCGTGGCTGCAACTGATTTCTGTCGGTTGGGGTCTCGCTTTTATTGATGCAGTCAAAACTGGGGTGGGTCTGTCGGCGCCAGGGTTTTCTTGATAATTCTAAATACGTATCCACCCTTCTTATTTCTGATTAGGGATTTTCCATTTTCGGTAACTTACTTTCCTCCTACTCCCTTACTGTGCCTCTGGGGCGTATACCCGCTTCCCCACTCCTTCGTATGTCATGTGACCGCTCTCGACCAATGGGGTCCTGGTCGGGCATCTTTCCTCCTCCCTCGCACGTCATGTGACCGCTCTTGGCCAATGGGATCCTGGTCGGGTGTCTCTCCTCCTCCCTCATGTATCATGTGACCGCCTTTGGCCAATGAGGCTCTGGTCGGCATCTTTCCTCCTTCTTTCGTGACGTCTTTAATCGGGCGTGGACAATCCGTGGCTTTGTTCTGGGGGAAGAAACACCTTGCTTAAAGAAACAAAAATTTAAATTGCCCTTTTTTGTACGTGACCGAAATGACGCTCTCGGTTTCTTTTACACGCAGTATTCGTCAAACAGTTTATCGCTAATTGGATACGATCTAAGAAAGGGATTTCCCAGATTGGGTGGCGTTTTCGTGAACTAATAAAAATATTTCACTTTTTTCTTTCGCTCGGAGCTTGATAACAAAAATCTTAATTATCTCAAAAAAAGCATTCTCTAAC